TCGTACAGTAATAAACTGAATGATGCTGTGAAAGAATTTGTTGCTCCCATCTCCCAAACTAATTGGAATGGGACATTAGACAACTGGTTTAATGGTTTCGAACTGATGTTACATTTGCTGACAGAGCACAAGTTGACCAGCACAGGAACTGTACATAGGAAGAAAGCAGAAATTCCACACGAAATGTTGCAACTTAAAGACAAAGAATTGTACAGTACAATGTCTGGATTTCAGTAAGAGATAACACGGGCTTCCTATATGGCAAAGAAAAACGAAGTGGTACTGTTGAAGTCAACATTGTACCAAGATGGAAATACTGATAGGGAAACCCTGACAAAACAGAAGCCTGAGATGTAACTTTCAGAACAAACCAAATGCCAAGTAGATGAGTTATGCAACAACTATTATGTCATCAAAACACAAAGCATTGCCCAATGGTTGTGTTTTACTCGATCCTAAACATGCGTGGCCTAAATAATTTGATAGTTCACAAGAAAGTAATAAGTGCAAGATAATACAGAGAAATTTTCTTAAGAGGAGTGGGACTGGAGCTCCTAAGAGATCATTTACAGTAGAGGAAAAACAAAATGTTTCTGCCCAGTGAACTATGCAAAAAAAACTGTGGCACACACTGGTGGGCTGACAGGTAAACAGGCTGGTGCAGCATCACAAAGACCTACTACAACAACAGGAAAATAAAAAAGTTGTCGACTGTGCCCTACAGGAAAGGACAAGAAAATAAAACATACATGCTATCAGTGTAAGTGATACTTGCTTATGGAACATGCAACTTTCATGTGTGAAGATTGCATTGGGTGTGACAGTTCAAGCAAAAATTATTTCTGTGGTAGACTTTTGTTTGTATTTACATCGGAATTCACATAGGTTTTTATTTCTGCTGTTATCTTTCAGGTTTTGTAAGCAGGTGAACAGCAGATATGAAAATGTGGATGACTACTCTAAGCACTGATTACTTATCTGATATTTTATTGATATTTTATTGATATACTATTTTCCTAAGCACACATTGTATGATATAGTAGAATGCCTCTGGCAAAACAGGAAGACCAGAGAGGTGGCAAGAACAGCCCGACACAGAGGAAAGGAAAGCTAAGCACATGTGCTGTCAGTGTGAGATATGTGCATGAAACATGCAGTTTTCATGTGTGAAGACCACCTTAGATATGACCCCTGAAGGGCAGATTATTTTTGTTGTAGTGTTCTATTGGTATTTTCATTGTAGCTCATATAGGAATTTATTTCTGATGTATCTTTTAGGTTTTGTAAGCAAGTACACAGCTGATGTGAAAATTTTAATGTTTATTCTGAATGCACAATACATATTAAGAATTTAATAATTTATTTCATTGAGGTTCATTTTTTTTTTCTTCCTTCTTTTTTTTTGTGGTACCGGGGATCGAACTCAGGACCTTGTGCTTGCCTAGCAGGTGCTTGTGCAGCTGAGCTATATACCCAGCCCTCATTGAGGGTTTATATTCTTGTTAACTATACACTGTGTAATATATTAAGAACCTCCTGACAAAACAGTAAGACCAGCAAGATGTCAAGTAAGTCCTACAAAAAGGCCAGGAAAGCAAAACACATGTGCTATCAGTGTAAGCGATGTGTCAGTATGGAAGGTACTGCTGTCATGTGTGCAGACTGCCTTAGGTGTGATAACTGAAATAAAGATTACTTTTTGTAGAGTTCTATTGGTATTTTCATTGTACTTCATATGAGAATTTATTTCTGATGTTCTTTAGACTTTGTACACCAAAAACCAGTTGATGCTGAAAATTTCGATGCTTTTTTATAAACAATCAATATTAGAAACTCAACACTTAATTCTTGTGATTTTTTATCTGTTAAGTATAATTGTTTAATAAAATTCTTAAAATTATAATAATTCATTAATAGAAATAGTCTAAAGAATAAACATGGCTCTGACAGACCCACATTTATGTGCCTGATGACAAAATTAGACTTATGCTCCAATGACTACATGGGGAAAAATATGAAACCTTTTCATCTAAAAATCAGGATCTAGACCAAGATGATTCCACCATCACCACTCCTGTTTAATACAGTATTTGAAATTTTACCCATACCAATCAGGTAAGAGAAGGGCTGGGGATCTAGCTCAGTGGCACAGTGCCTGCCTGGCAAGCGCAAGCTTGTGAGTTCACTTCCTGGTACCAGAAACAAACAAACAAACCAACAAAAAATCAGGTAAGAGAAAAAAAAAGGGATACCTATAAGACAGGAAGAAGTCAAATTATCCTTATTAACAGATGACATGATCCTTTTACATAGAAGCCCTAAAACGTTCTACCAAAAGACTCCTAGACCTAATAAATTCATCAAGACAGCAGGATACAAAATCAACAGTATTCCTGTACACCAATAATGAAACCCACTGAAAAAAGAAACTATAAAGTTAGTGTTATTCACAATAACTTCAAGAAAGATTAAATACAATACACAGAAATTAACGTAACACAAAAGAAGTGAACAACCCCTGTAATGAAAATAACAGTGTTGGGGCTGGGGATTTAGCTCAGCGGCAAAGCACCTGCCTGGCAAGCGCAAGGTCGTGAGTTCGGTTCCCGGTACCGGAGAAAAAAACCAAAAAAAAAAAAAAGAAACAAAGAAAATAACAGTGTTCTGAAAAAGGAAATTAAAGAAGACATCAGAAAATGGAAAAGACAGACCCTGTTCCTCGGTATGTAAAACCACTACAGCAGTACCTCAGTTCACAAACTTAATTCTCTCAATTCTGGTTGTAAATCAAATTGGACGAGAACTGAATCAAATTTCCCCATAAGGTCAACATTGAACCTAACCACTGAATTTGACTCAATTCTTGTCCAAGTTGATTTGCAACCAGAATCTTGGAAAAAATCCGGTTTGTGAACCAAGGTACAACTGTATTGTCAAAACAGCCATACTTCCAAACTGTACAGACTTAATACAATCCCATATGAATAGCATTCCTCACACAACTACAAGAAACAATCCTACAACTCATAAGGAACTAAAAGACACTCAGAATAACAAAAGCAACCCTGGGCAACAAGAGTATAGCAAAAAGCATTACAACCTCAGATTTGAAGTTACTGTATATTACAAAGCCAGTGATAACAGCATGTTACTAGTACAAAAACTGCCACATGGCATGAGGATATAGAAACCCTAAGCACAGTCACCTAATCTTTGACAAAGGGGCCAAAAAAATATGTTAAAGGAATACAGCCTCTTTAACAAATGGTGCTAAAAACACATGCTGAAGTCCGAATCTGTCCATGTACTAAACTAAAATCAAAATGGATCAAAGATCTAAGTATGAAACCAGAAACAACCTGCTGGAAGATAAAATGGGTAAAACCTGAAGAAAGTAGAACTTCTGAAGACATAGGTACAGCCAAGGACTTTTTGAGCAGAACCTCAACTGCACAAAAACTAGCATCAAGAATCAACAAATGAGATTACATCAAACTAAAAGCTTCTGCACAGCAAAGGAAACAACCAACAGAGTGAAGTGACAACATACAAAATGGGAAAAATTTTTTGCCAGCTACTCCTCTGACAGAGAACTAATATCTAGACTATAAAAAGAAATTAAAAAAAAAATACTATAACATTCTCCCAAATAAAAGACCCAATCAAAAAATGGGCAACTGAAATTAATAAACATGTCTCAGAAGTACAAATGGCCAATACAGGAAAAAATGTTCAACCTCTCTGGTCATCAGAGAAATGCAAATTAAAAAGGACCCTGTGATTCTATCTTACTCCAAAAAGAATGGCTACAGTCAAGAAATCAAATAACAACAAATGTAGGAAAAGCTACAGGGGTAGGAGTGGGGTGGGAGAGGTTTCTTTATAGTTAATGAGAACGGAACTGGTACAACCACAATGGAAATGATTGTTTTTGTTTTTGTTTTGGTACCAGGAATTGAACTCAGGACCTTGCACTTGCCAGGGAGGGTGCTGTGCCACTGCGCTATATCCCCAGCCCACAATAGAAATGAGTACAGTAAGTACTCAAATAACTAAAACTAGAAATTCCATCCAACCCACCTAGATACCTTCTAGGTATCTTCCCAGAAGAGTTAAAGACATCATATTACAGTAATACATGCACACCCATGTTTATAGCAGCACAACTCATAATAGCTAACTCTTGGAAATTCCCTATATGTCCATTAACAGATGACTGGATAAAGAAAATATAGCATTTATACATAATGGAGCACTATTCTGCCATAAAGAAGGCCAAATGAATCATTTGTGGAAAAATGTATACACCTTCAGATCATAATGTTAAGTGAAATAAATCAGACACACAAACAAGTACTGTGTAGTTTCTTTTATATGAGAAACCCAAAGTACAAATAAAGGTGCAAAATAAAAAACAGATAATAGGAAACAGGGAGAGAGATCTTGGAAAATGGGGAGGGGATCAAGAGATAGGGGAGAGAAGGGTGGGTAAGGGGACACAAAAGAATTAAGATCTGAGGGGCTGGGGATTTAGCTCAGCGGCACATCACCTGCCTGGCAAGCACAAGGTCATGAGTTTGATTCCCGGTACCAGAGAAAGACCAAAAAACCAAAAAAAAGGAATTAAGATCTGTTATGTATATGTATCAGCTCCCCATGATGAATGTAATCATTATGTACTGCAAAAATGTACTAATTAGGAAGCAAACAAAAAGATAATGGTATGAAGATGTTCCACCTCCCTAGCTAATTATATATCTAGAAATAAAGACACCTTACTATTATTAATATTAGACTATGAAGAAAGTGAATGGACCTAAGACTATAACTTAGATAACAAAACAAGCCAACAAAAAGTTAACTCTATTTTAGAAAGAATAAAAAACAGAGTATGTCCATAATGGTACACATTTCTACAATAGTATCAAGATGATAATATTTAATGTACGCAGTAATACACTTATTTCTAATAAAATTCATCTATCTAAAGAAATCATTACCTGATTTGTAGGCATTTTCGGCATATTCACCTTCCACATCTGGGCTTCCCTAGAGATTGCCTTTTCCAGTAAGAAAGACAATCTGTGGTTTTCCAAAGGGCCTGGAAACTTCATGATATCCTTTGGATCTGCTTGCCACCCAGCTTGATGTAACTACCTATAAAATCAAATATAAATAATGCTTATTATTTAATTATAGGATAAGTATATACACATACATAAAAGTATGCTGGTATTTATTAAGCAATTCATAAAACAAAGTAAAAATGTTATAAGGCAATATAAGATTTTATAACTCTTTAAAATATATTAGTATTATAATCAGTTATCTAAAATATTCTCACTTTAAATCTGAAATTCAGTCATAAAGAGAACAAACACAAAGCTATATAATGCAACCTTTGAACTCTGATCAAAATATTACTACCATGTAAAAACTGGCAAAAGAAATTTAAGTAGCTGGCTTTTTAATATTGGGGATTTTTAGAAATAATTGTCCCAAACATTCCCCCTAAAAACAGCCATTAATTTTTCATTTAGAAAGCTGTATCCATTACATTAAATCCAATCCGCTCCCACTGCTTCACAGTGAAAGTCTTGAATTATGCTTCAGGTCTGAGGTGTAGCTCAGTGGCACAGCACATGCACCAGAGGGAAAAAACTGTGTGCTCACATGTGGCGATTTAAATTTGAATTGAACAGCTAACAGACTTGCCTAAAGCTCTACTTTAATAATGTTACTAATGGATACTAATAATTTAATAATGTTACTAATGGATACTATAATGGACAAGCATAGTAAAGGAACATTTCTATCAACACAGAAAGTTCTACTGGGCAGCACCTGATCTAGAAAGCTTAGGAGACTCAGTAGTCCTTTAAAAAGTAACAGCCTAAATCAAGGCAGGGCAACTGAGTTCAAGAGAATGTTTCTAGATTAAAAAAATAATAATAAAACAAACCTATGGATTTGAGAAGCTTGAATGTGACAGAAAACTATATTGAGAAGTTGCTGAAGAATACAAACAGAGAGCTTTATACTTGAGAGCTGAACTAATGAAAAAGGCACTTTCACAAAAAATATTCCTCAAGAAAGTAATTCATCACAAGATTTGCCTAACAATTAAGACACTGCATATAAAGATTTCAAAAACATTGTGAAAAGGTTACGTTGGGAGGATGAGACCAAGTATGGATGTTAGAAGGTAGAACAAGACCCTTATCTTCACATTTAATAGAAAGAAAACCAGAGATAGTACTTAAAACTATATACCAACATATAGCAATAGAGCAAGTTATTTGAAAATGTGATCTTATGTAACATGAGAAACAGGTTATAAGTTTTAAAAAGTTAACCGCTGAGTGAGAGAAGGCAGAGAAAGGCTTGGAGCAGGGAATTGCTGTTTTCTATAAGAAGCCTCACATAACTGAAGTTCTCAAGCAGCCCAGTGGTGGCACACACCTGTAATCCCACCATTTGGGAAACAGGCAGGAAGATGGCCATGAGTTCAAGGACAGCCTGGACTACAAAGCAAATCCCCATCTCAAAAACCAAAACAAGAAAAAGTTTTCAACTACGTATATATTTTTATTATGTGCTACAGATTCATATGATTTGGGACTGTTTTTAAATGTCCAGAATTAAGACACACAAAGTTCCAAAGTTTTGATAAAATTTAAAATATGAACAAATAAACCTCTTTTAATTTCCACATTTTGCCCCAATTTGAGCTACTATCCTCTCTTCTGCTATACCACATACTCTACCTACTTTACTGATAGACTATCTCCATTTAACTGACTTATGACTTTTTTTTTTTAAAGTCAGTGCCTTGCTCTGTAATTCAAAATGGCCCTGAACTCACTATGTAGCCCAGGCTGGCCAAGAACTCATGGTGGCACTTCTCTGCCTCACCCATCCCAGTGCTGGAATTCCAGGTGTATGCCACACTACCTGGCTTTTTCTTCTTTAAACTCTCTGAGTCTTCTCAACTTTCCTATAGTGAGCATGAAATATTTTCATGCTTAAAAAAAAAAAAAAAAAGTAAATGAAGGAAAAGAATTAGTATCTGTCCTAAAAGGCCCATTTTAAGGTAATTTCTACCAAGAATTCTTGATTCTCTAGTCAGATGTGATTTCTTTCCCTTCTGAGGGCAGCTTTCCACTGCCTCCCCAGCTAACTTAAAAGTTCCTCTGAAGTCATGTCTATGAATATCAATTTTTTATTACTCACTGTACCCACAACACAACACTATGGATAAAACAGGGACTCCACAAATCATTTTAGTTTAAACACTGTGGTCAAAAACAAAAGCATACAACCACAAGCTAAACAAAACATCCAAGTCAAAATTCGGGTTCGCAAGTCAATTCTTTAAACATCTGAAGGCTGCTACCAAGCTCATTGATTCATCTTTTTCATAGTTGAAAAACTGTTCCTCATATGACATTTTGGCTCTTTTACAGTAGTTCCAATTCTACATTTTCAATTCAGGTAAAATTTATGGTCAACTAAAACTTTTTTATTGAGACAGGATCTTCCTATATAATTCAGGCTGGCCTTGAACTTGTTATGTAGCCCAGGCTGATCCTCTTGCCTCAGCCTCCACAGCACTATCATTACAGGCAAGTGCCACCACACCCAGCCTCAGCTAAAACTTTTAAGACTTTCTCAGGTTCACTGTGAGGCCATTGTGTGTGTGTGTGTGTGTAAGAAGGGTCTTGGGGGGGGGATATACATCCTTGTTTAGAATCAAGAGTATTAGAGTCCACACACAGTTGTATTTTGCCAAGATGTTCTGATGTTCCAATTTTGTTACTTAGCACTTGTCTCAGCTCTTCCACAATGTGATGTGCAGGTTTATCATAATTTCATCTAAAAGTAATTTTAAATACTAACCTTAAAACTGCAGGGTAAACACCAGACTACCATCCATCAAGAGACACTCAGAAGAATGCTAGTATTAGATGAAGATTGGACTTTGCAGGTCTTAAGATTTCTTCCCAATCTAATTTTAGTCTGTAACGTTTGTACTCTGATCAAAAACATCAAACTTCAGTAATTTTTCCATGCCACTAGTTACTCCAAACAGGGTGGTTCACCAGAATTCATCAGCTTTCCCAACACAAACCAACAAATGGCTGCCACTAAGCACTATTTAGCACTATTTTCTCCTTACAAGACTTACGAGTCTGATGTTTACCAAGTATAAATGAGCACAGAGAGCAACATCTACAGTAGAATCCTATAAACATCTGGGAGGCTGAAACAAGAGGGTTGTCTCAAGTTGCCTGGGCTACACAGTGAGTTCAAGACCACTCTGAACTACACAGTAAGACCCTGTCTCAACACACACACACACACACACACACACACACACAAAGGCCAAGTGTGATGGCAGATGTCTGTAATCACAGCACTCTAGAGGCTGAGGCAGGAGGATCACTGTGAGTTTGAGGTCAGCCTGGACTACCTAGTGAGTTCAAAGCCAGCCTAAAAGAGCAGCAAACTGTAGCTAAAGCAAACCAGATGCAAATATTAATACAGACTTTCTTTGCTGTTTATATCAATATGCTCATTGATGGGTATACTACTATATGGACTTAACAAAATCTGTTAAGTAGAAAATATTAAAAAAGAGAAAAATCAACAAAACCAAAAACTGATTCTCTGAAAAGATCAGTACTGGCAAACCTGCAGTTAGACTGACCAAGAAGCATAGGAGATAAATTATTAAAATCAGAGACAGGGCATTTTTACCTACTTCATAAAAACAAAGACAATTACAACTGAAATTTATAAACAATTGTATGCAGATAAATCAGCCAATACAGTAGAAATGGACCAAAGTCTTGAAATACAAACTAACAAACCCACTTAAAAGCTGAACAGCCATGACACTTATTTTACTAGTTTAAAAAAGCCATGCCCAGGTAACTTCACTGGTTAAATTCTACAAAACATTTACAGCAAAACTAACACTATTGTTCATAAATTTTCAAAAAACAGAAGAAAAAATTTTCACAACAAATTCTACAGCCCAATTATTACCCTTCTACCAAAACCAGACAAACATCTCCAGAAAATTACTTCTGCAAAATCTTTAACAAAATACTAACAACCTAAACTCTGCAACATCATAAATGCAAGATTGGTTTAGTGGTACAAAGAAAACCAATTAAAATAATACAGTACACCGTATTTATTTTTATAAAACAACTCTGCTCACACTAAATGTAAAAAGCGTTTAAATTTGCTTAAACGTTTAAAAAATAGTACAAAAGCAAAGAGTCACAACCATGGATACATTCCAGACGAACTGAGGCTACACAAAACTGTGAGCACAATGGAACTAACCAATTCCTCCTGCAGTTGTAAGAGCCATCACTGGGTCACAGGACACTAATATAAACAGCAGATCATGTAAAAATAAATCAATGCTAAATTTACTACAATGGAAAACTCTGTGATTCTGTGAGAGCATATCCCTATTCTTAGGATACACACACTGATAATTTTAGTATTGTTATATAATACAATAGATGCAACCTATACAAGGAGAGAAAGAAAATTGAAAAAATGTTAGGGGGCTGGGGATTTAGCTCAGCGGCAAAAAGCGCCTGCCTGGCAAGCGCAAGGTCGTGAGTTTGGTTCTCGGTACCGGAGAAAAAAAAAAAAAAAAAAAAAAAAAAAAAGTTAATGGGAAAATCTGGGTGAAAGAATTGTTTTAAATTACTTATGTACAAAAAGCTAAAATACCCATAATTTATGGAAATCTATTTTTTACTCTCTTTGCAAGACCAGTAAGACAGATACTACCATATGAAGATACGGGTTTCAGTTTTTAAAATTCTTTTAAGGACAATGAACAAGCCTATTTTATACTACTTAAAACGGATTATTAGATTAATTCTGCTAAGGAATAAAACAAAAATACAATTTTATTTTTCATAGCACAGCTCTGTAATTGTATCTCACTAATGTATATCCACTCACAGTCATATGGAGAATTTTGATTGTTCTTTAGTTTCTAAAAGCAAAAGACCATACAGGCTCAGTATCCTTTATCCTAAATGTCTGGGATCTGAAGTGTTTCAGATTCTTTTCGATTTAAGGGTATTTGAAATACAAAATCATGTGCTTGGGACCAAACTTAAGCAAGAAATTCATTTATATACACCTTACACACATAATCTGAAGGTAATTTGGGGCAAGATTTCAATTTTGTGCATAAAACAAAGTTTCAGGATGAGGAGTTTCCCACCTGTGGCCTCAAGTCAGCATTCAAAATGTTTGGATTTTGGAGCATTTCCTATTTTCAAATTAGGAATGCTCAAGCTGAATTTTGTTTGCCACATTCCACATATAACTTCAAAATTTCTCCTCCCATTCTCTCAACTGTACCTTCTACTATGTTTTCTCTATATGATTACCGAATACTCTAATTTCTGATTCAAAAGTTAATTAAATACTCACTGCACAGCATAAGCAGTATTACTGATACACGTACAGGCACTCCTCTGAAAACAGTGTGGTACAGTGCTGGGTATACAATACAAACAACTTACTAATATGTAGTTACTATATTTATGATTATAATACCAACTGTGCATTCTTAGTTCCTCTTCGAAAGAGAAACTCACCGTTCTACTACTCACTCTTTGACTTTAAGCACTAGCAGTGAGACACTACAGCAAATTCTAACTCCAAAACAGTGTGCTCATTCACTCACCTCCCTGCCGTTCCATCTACTGTTTTCAACTTGAAGTGTCCTCCTCTACCTCACACTCTCTTGCCTAAAATTGCCATCAGTCTACAGCAGTACCCTCTGGAATTAATGCAGTTGTACCCTACCTTCGTACACCTGTTTTTGGACATAATCCTACGTCTTTCTGCATTTATTGCTAAGTGATGATTATTTGTAGATCACCTTTTCTACTAAACTATGAGTTCCTTGATGGTACTCAGTCTCCAAAGTTTCGCATCGTGCTTAATAGCTTACACTTGCTAAATGCTTAGCATGTACTTGGTCAGCTACTGTCAAAGCGCTGTCACACTGACTCAGGTAATTCTTATTAAATTAGAATTACTAAACCCATTTTAAAGATGAACAAGAAAGGTGAATACTCATTTCTGAAGTATCAGAGTAAAACACGCACGCACACAGTGTCCAATTTTGACCAGGACATGTACTAGAGCTCCACTTTAACGTACTAGGTCACGCATGTCTACTACCCGCCGTCCCAACATCAACTGCATCACTATTAAGAAACCAGTGTTAAGAAACTTTTCAAGACGCCCGTCTCTCTGGCTCCAGATTAGCCAATTTAAATCTTGTCTGCTCCTTCTTAATCCACTTGTCTGTTCTTTTCTGTGGCAGATAAACTACCACAAATAATCTGCAAATCGTAGAAAAAGGTAACACTACTGTTAATTCTTTCAATTCATGTTCAGGACGGAGACTACGCGATGTAAGAGACTGAATTCTGGCCACAGGGTTCTCATAACTAAAAAATATCTAAAATAAAGGTTATTTATCCTTGTGGGGTCTCAAGTTCTCTCGCACGTAAAAGGAGGCTCCTTCCCCTATCGTCAATGAGTCCTTGGGGGACTGAAATGAGCTGCAAACCTGGAAGAACCGTGCCTGGCAGATAAGCCTCATCAAACGTTGCTGCTCAAACGCTGAGGGGTTTTTCACGGACAGAATAAAAACGAAGTACGTTTCCGCGACTCAGAAACCTGCTTCTAAATCTGTCCTACCTCCCGGCAGATACCTTTCACTATTTTGCTACCCAATTCTCAACTTCTGCAAAAATCATCTGCAACGGAACCCCTAGCTCACCGGAGGGCTTTTGGCCCAGCTTTCAAAATCCGGGATTTTTATCTGTTCTTCAGGGTGCAACCCAACCAAAGCTCATCTCCCCGACATCCCGTCCGCCCCGGCCACGCTCCCCGCCGCGCTTTCCGCACCCCGGGGCTTCGCCCGCTCCACCCGCCCGGCAGCCTGACTCAAGCTCCGGGGGCCCCCGCAGGGTCCTAGGCGTCTGAGGGCGGAGGCGCGTGCCCCGCTGTGCGCGAGCAAACGCGCACCCCGGGACAGACACCGGCACAGGCACCGCGCTGCGGCAGCAGAAAGTTACCGCGGCCGAGCCGCCGCCGCTCTGCAGCCGGGCAGTGCGGGACGCGAGGCCGGGCGGGGGCGTCCCGAGGCCGGAAGGGGAAGCGGCGGCGCCCCGCTCTCACCTCCTCCTCCTCCTGCTCGGCGTCCTCCTCCTCCTCCTTCTCCCCCCGGCGGAGCTGCGGGCCTCCCAGGGGTGACGCGGGGGCATCCGGGGCGTCGCCTCCTCCTTCCCTCCGCGCCAGGAGCGAGGCGCGCGGCCGAGGAGGGG